TCTCTCTCTCTCTCTCTCTCTCTCTCTCTCTCTCTCTCTCTCGCTCTCTCGCTCTCTCGCTCTCTCTTTCTCCCTCTCCCAGTCTGTCTCTCCCTCCCCCCTCTCCCCCTCTCTCTCGCTCTCCCCCTCTCTCTCCAATTACAGACTTTCACTCGCGCTCACAAACAGGTGTGCCACTCTGCTGCAGTGGCGGCAGCACTAGCCGCCTCTCTATCTATCACAGCAAACACTGCGACTGACGGCCCTACGTGCGTGCGACCGCGAAAACATGCAACGGAGAAGGCAACTGAACGCGTGCCACAACCACCAGCTTCTTCTTCTCCTCCTCCTCATTCTTCCCCCTCTCTAACAACAGGCTAGCGACAACATCAACGAACTAACGCAATATACTGTTGAAATGCCAAGGTTCGTCTGTAACACAGGCAACAACACATCGCCAGGCAACCACCACGCACGCACACACGCACGTGCGCACGTACACACGCACGCACGTACGTGACCTTTCGCAGCCGGTGACGGATTTTCACCCATTGATTTCGTATCGATTATCTGTCGGCGTGCGTCTCTGTCGAAAATGCTGCACGAGCGAGTGATCAGCCGATAAGATTGTGAGTGTACATAAATGTATACTTAATTACGGTACTTAATTATGTACTTAATTACGGTACTTAATTAAGGTAACTTGCTGCTTCCCGTACTGACTCGGCTGGAAGTGGAGCGCAACACGAAATGCCATAAAACACAAAGAGAGTGACAGAAGAAGAGAGAAGGGGAAGAGAGAGAGATAGAGAGAGGAAGAGAGAGATGGAGGGAGGAAGAGAGAGATGGAGAGAGGAAGAGAGAGGAGGAGCGAGATAGAGAGAAATAGAGAGATGGAGAGAGGAATAGAGAGATAGAGAGAGATAGAGAGAGGAAGAGAGAGAGTGAGAGAGAGAGAGAGGAGCAGGAGGAGGGGGAGGAGCAGGAAGAAGAGGAGGGGAGGAGGAGGGGGAAAAGAAGAGGAGGGGAGGAGACGGTGCGTGTTTGTTTTGTCGGCATTTAAATATGTCGTGCAAACAAACCTAGAAGACGGCGAGCATGCACTTACGACGAGGGGGTAAGTAGGCCTATACACGCCCACATTATACGCTCTTGATTATATGTATATAGGCCTGCTGCGCGCTGCTCTCTCAGCTTCTCTCTCTCTCTCCTCCCTTCTCTCTCTGTCTGTCTCGCTCTCTCTCTCTCTCTCTCTCTCGCGCGCGCTCTTTCTTTCTCTCTCTCTCTCTCTCTCTCCCTTTCTCTTTC